CGGAGTTGTCGGGTCCTTTACACCAAGGAGATCTTCTTCTTTGGTGAACTTTACCTCGAGACAAAGCTTCGAATCCGATGATACAAGGTGCGAGTTCACCGGAGCAACGTGTGGAATCCCCTCCACACTCCCTTGAGTTCTCCCCCTCACAGGATCTTCTCCTCTCATAAACTCCCACCCTTACTCTCTCCCTTTCAAGCTCTCTCTTCAAGTTTTCCCCCACAAGAACGAAGCTACAGATGGCTGCCAAAGACTTAAAAAAAAATAGGAAGTAATTTTTCATTTTTAGAAAAGTGAATGTGTGTGTTGATGAGAAAAAACTTTTATGGAAAAAAAAAATTTCAAAAGAATAAAAAAAACAAAAAAAATAAAAAAAAAAAACGAAAAACACAAAACACGAACACAAAAACAAGAAAGACTCTTAACCATTATCTCTCTCCGAGCTCGATGCTTCAGAGACCAGATCTGCCCATGAGATTGTTCGCCTTTCATTATTACCCCAGTTTAAATTTTGCCTTTGCGTTGCCCTTTTCTTTCGTAAGAAGAATTCTTAAATTAGGATATGCATTTTTTCATATGTCCTGGCTTCCTGCATCAAAAGAAAATAACGTCAGAATAAATATGGACATCCTTACCACTTTTACCTTTTTTCCACTTTTGCTTATGCTTATGGTGGGCTTTGTTGGATGGCTTGACATGTCATTGCCTTCATCACCAACTAGGCTATCTCTTTCTGTATCTCCAGCTTTTTAGAACAATAGTTTCACCTGCATCCAAAAGTCTTTGACCCAAACTTTGCTCGTAGGCAATGAGTGAGCCAATCAAATTATCAATAGCAATACTCATTCAATTATTTTTTGATTCATAAATAGCAACTAATTTAGCATCAAAACTTTATCCAGTAAACAACGAAGAATTTGTTACTTTTTCCAAAAATTTGAAAAATCTTTTCCTAAAGCATGCAATGAGTTTACAATTGAATTGAAATCTGTTTTATACATGTCTAGATCGTCTCAAAGATTTCAGGAAAATAATTCAAAATCATGCATTAACAAATTCAACTTGGATGCTTGATTTCACTAGTTCCTTCGTATAAGGTGAGCCAAATTTATCCCAAACTTCATTATCGGTAGTCACGTGGATACTAACATAAAATTATTAGAATTTAAAGCATAGAAAATAGCAATTGTAAAAGACTTATTGCATTCAACTAAGCATTGCATATTCTTTCCCTGTTCTCATTGACTAAAAGGAATATCAATTTTAACTCCATTAACAATTTCGTGACGGTGATGAATAACAGTTAAATCATATGCCACATGCGAAAATATAAATCGATTGCAAGAAATAGAACATGCGTAGTTTTCCAAAAAATCAAATGAACATATTT